AACCCTGACTGCTCTTTGTACTGGAGAGGGAGGGGGAGAGGAGGAGTGGGAGGAGGGGGAGAGGAGTGGGGGGGAGGAGTGGGGGGAGGGGGAGAGGAGGGGGAGGGAAATGGGAGGCTGGGGGAAGGCAGAAATTTTTTTTCAAAGAGAAAGAACCATAAAACTGCGTTTTACTGATACAGAAATAGTAATGGTACATTTATTTCCATAACAGCACTTCAATCGTCTCTAACAAAATTAAGGCTACATTGGAGCATTCGGACAGAAAGGGACTGTTTTATACAATGTTATTCATGTTTTCACAAACAAAACAATATTCTTCAGGCAAAAAATTTTTAACAAGATACCAGTAAAGGAAATGGAATACAAAATGTGTTCCTTTGGGTCAGCCTGATAATAGCCACACACCCCCTAGGGAGTATCAGGGGATTGTTTTTAATGAATACTTTGAGTATGAGGGCGACTCTCCAGAGTTAACATCCCACAATACAAGGCTATTTCATAATATAAAACCAAAGACAGTTGCATCTCCTGCATAATCCCTTTAGAATGAATAATTAGTGAACATAAGCAGTATTTAAAAGCACAAGAGAACTGTGCAGAGGCCTACGGTGCCTGGAAGGACAATCCCTACATCAAAGCCCTTCTCCCTCAAATCCATTGGGAAGAAAATGAGAACTCAAATCGGATGATACTAAACTGTCAGCACTCCCAGGAGAGTGGCCAGGACCCTGCGGTACTCTTGAGGATAAAGTAATGCCATTTAAGGCCACCCACCAGCAGACTCAGTAAAACCATATTATTTCTTCCTCAAGGCACTCAAAAAAGAAAAACGATTTAATATCCTTGGTCCATAAGAAGAAATATTTACTTACATCCTCAATGGACTAAAAGATTTTAGACGTAACAATTAAAATTGTATCTTTCCAAAAATATTATATTATCAATGCAATTAACTCAATAAACTTAAAAAAACAAAACTTAATTTAAACTAAACTTCATTAAAACTTTTAAAAAACCAACAAAACATACTTCCTAGAGTGCAAAATGCTTATTAAATACTTCAAGAACACAAAAATAATTTGTTTAAAAACACAGGAATCCTTTGCTAAAGGGCCATCAACAAAAAAGACACCCATTGCCCATAATGGGTGCCAGCTGGAAGACACATGGTGTTAAGCTTTGTGCTTGGCCTCTGCCCCTTTCAGATGACATGTTATTTGTACAAGCTCATGGTTGGACTCTGGTACATGCACATGTACGCATCACAAAGAAGTCTGCGTGCACAGCCTCGAATCCTTCTGGAATCCAAGGAGTGCAGCTCCTCCAGAGACATCTTCAAGTACTCTCCCACTTCAGGGCAGGGTGTCACTTGTGGAATGTTGAAGCCATTCTGACCCCCTAGGGAGAGAGAGAGAGCTCTCATTAGGGCAGCAAACTTCTAAGTCCTCCTGGCAGCCTGTCCAACCAGAACAATTTTACTATCCTAGAATTTAGTGAAGACTGACTCCCAGAATCAAAAACAAAACAAAACAAAACAAACAACAAAACTTTGTTTGACTTTCAGTTTCTAGAATTACGGTCTCCTTTTATTGGCTTCTGAGAGGGCTCAAGCAGAGAAAAGTGAAAAAAAAAAAAAAAACCTGGTAAAAGGACATGCACTTAGGAAAAGCTGCAGTCCCGATTTGCAGGCTGCTGCTCTAGGCCCCTCAGACTTTTCTGTCCTTCCCAGACACTAACAGTCTGACACTTTTCCACAAGAAGCCAATTGTGAGCGCTACTGTTTCCCTATGTTTTAAGAACATACTTGCATACCTCTAGCACGGCTGTTTTAGATACTAATCATCAGAACGCGCACGTGCTCTGATGATCAGATTTGCTCTCCCAGATGCGTTCCCAAAAGTTATGCTGCTAATGCTGAGTGAAGCACACACAGGGGTGGGCTGTGCCCTCAGGCATCAGAGCTATGCAGAAATGAAGAACTGTTGGTCTACAGCTTGGGCCTCTGGTCAAGAAGCCGTCACTCGGTGCCTCTGGTTATTAAAGTGTCACACCTGAAGACCTGGGGAACTAGGGCTTGGAAGAAGAGCTGTAGTGTAAATGGGGTATGGACAGGTACTGTGACAAGTACCTTACTACCAAGACCCCTGTCACTCAAGTGTGTACTAAGTAATGACTAAGCTTCCTAAAAACATCTCAATGAGAAAAGGTTTCTTCCTGAAATAAAACGCATGAGATCAGGAAGACTGAGGTAAATTCATACCATGCAACCTTCACCACCTTTAACGTTAGCTTAGACAATAGAAAAACAGGCATGATTTCCATGACCTAAGTATTCCCACAGAGTTTGGCATTTATGTCCTCAATAAATGGCTACTCTACTGTATATAAAAATGCAAGGAAGAAGATGGTAAAATCAGCTCTAAATAAATTTTAGGATCTTTGTTTTCTTTTGAGGTTGGACAAATTGAATCAGGTTCTCACTATGCAATACAAACTGACCTCTGATTCACAATCCTCTACTTCCCAAGTCTGGGATTATGGCTAGGATTCTTTAACAAATCCACATAAGGACCAAGATGGCACAACATTATTGCTCCTTAGTTTGAGGAGCAGAATTAGTAATACCCTTTGAAGATTGAAGTCCGTCCCACTGTGGTATCCTTTCAAGAATCTGCTCACAAAATACCCTATTACCATAAACACGCGCTCTCACTAGGAAGCATCTCCCTCCAAAAGACGAGTTTTAAATACCATCTCGATCAGCCATGCTGTCAAAGAAGAGCCAGGCTGAATCATCCTTCCCATACTTCACAAAAGCAACATAGTGGCTCGTTTCTATGCAGAGAACAGCAAATAACTCCATCTTCTGGCAGGGGATGCAGCCGTGTCTCCAGTCCCAGTCAGGCAAGTCTTTGGGAAGTGATACTGGGTGATAGGTATGATTCATTCTCTTAGGATGGCGGTGAACCTAAAATGGACCATGAAGAAAATACCACAAGTGAGCTAAATGCCATGTTTCAAGGGCAGACTCTAATCACTTTCATTGACCAGCCCAGCCAAGTTCTACACACACACACACACACACACACACACACATACACACACACCGGCAGAAGAGACATGAGCAATAACATTTACTGTGAATGTTTAAAATGCCCTTTGACTCTGACTGGTGCAGTGAGTGTGGATTACCTGAGTGCAGCAGGTCTTACAGAACTGCTTGATCTTCCCTGCTGTGATGTCGGGGTCTTCATAGCAATCTCTACACTCAAACATCGCAAGTCCTCCACAGATGCGACACTCCCTGGGAGCTACGCAGAGGGAAGGAAGAAGCCTTTTTAAAAAGACATTCTGTCATTAAAAATAAAAGCTATACTTTGAAAACAAGAATGCTTGGGGGTTGGGGAGAAGAAAGGCCTAGTCCTCTCTGACCCTCTTAAAATTTCATTTGGATTTTTTTTTGTATCTGAAGTATTTTTAAGGACTTTTTTTTCATATAACCATTTTTGTTAACCTATTCTAGAATTGTTTTTCTGGTCATGAAATGTTCAAAGATATAAAGTAAGTATTGAAGACTAATAGCACATATGATCTTATGTCAGTAAGTAACAATCACTGCCATTATGAACTTTCTGTAACAATTTTACGTCTGAATATTTATATAAGTATGTGCACCTAGGTACACGTGTGTCTCAAGCTTCTCTCATCTAGCCTCTCGATGCTTTCCCTTCCACTATAACTACCACACACTGTTTTCACGTAGGTCTATTGTTTAGACATATAATCCAATTAACCACTTCCCTCTTATTAACATTTCTTGTCTCTAATTTCTTGTCAGATAGTAAGTAAATTTGCATTTAAATTATTTATTTTTACCTCTTTTTTTTTTTAGAATAAATTGTAGCAGTCAAATTATTAAGTTAGTATGTCTAAGCTCTTCAACTACTGAATTACCTGTCAGAAGTACTATACTCATAACTAATGAAAAGTCCAGGCCAACTATTTCTAAAACAAAACAAAACAAAACAAAAATCAAAGAACGGACTATATACTTACTGTCTTCAAGCAAATCCGTTATATTTAATTCTAGAGAAGGGAAAATTTTTTCGAACATTTTGAAGTCTTTTCCAAACCGAGGCATCTGAATAATCAAGCATGATGGTGCCTAAAAAAAAAGACACATAGTTTTAGAAACCAAAGTCCTAAGGAGCTGGGGACTTAGCTCAATATAGCGCTTACTTAGCATGTCCAAAGCCTTGAGTCCTAACCCCTGTACTAACGAGTTTCCCTATGAAACTGAAATAGTCATAACTGTCAAACCCAGTAGTGGTTTCAGCAGGGCTGTTGGCCCATGAAGCAGAGCCCACTTGTGAATGTGCAGTGTGGATGCAGAGCAGCAATAAGCTACAGATTTTCCAGACTTCCCCAGAGATGAACATGATAAAACAGACCACGGCATGCACTGCAGAGATAACACATTCTGACAGTCAAAGAGAAGTTTCTATTGCATTCATTAGCAAACCCATACACAAGAATTTATTGGTATTTTATCTCTTAGCAGAGGGAGAAAAAATAACATTACCTTTGACATGTTTAGATACTATGCATGGGAAAAATGACAACTGAAAACATAAACATGTATGCACACATATCTTTGCATTAAGCTACTTTAAACTTAAAAATTAGCTTTTGTTCCCTTTGCAACCCAAATCTAAAACATTCCAACTTAAGCTAAGCGCAGCTATCTTTAAAAAAACAAAGTTAGAATAACTTTTTTTTTTTTAAAAAAAAGTGTCTTCTTAACTATTTCTTCAAACTATTCTTGGTTAAAGCACAGTGACAGCTAGGTGTGGTTCAGTGGGGCAGCACTTGGGGCAGTGTGTACAAAAGGCCTGAGTTTAATATCTAGCATTGATAAGAAACAAAATAAAGTAGCAGTACAAGTCCAGTTAGAATCACTAACCTCTGCAAATTTCAGGTTGCTGTTGATAAAAGACCATTCTAGTAACTGTTGAATTGTAGGAACTCCAAATTTCTCATTTTTTTCCACAAAGATCTGATAGAAGTCGCAGTCTTGGACTTTCTGACCTGCTGATCTGGGAGCACACAGGAAGAAATGCATATAAGCCATTTACCAAATGCCTGAATCGAGTATGAAGCATCTGACAGACCTGAGGACACAGCATCATAATGCTCGTGTCCAGCTTTGGATTGTCCACACACCAGGTGAAAGACAATGATTCGGATGAGATAGTTAAATGTGCTTATGCAGAAGACCTCATAAATTAGTTCTTCTGCCTTCTTTATAAATTATTCAAAAGTTCTCTTGCCATCACAAGAAAAATGTAGAATAATATTCCAGACAAGAAACACTATATGAACAATACTCAGTTCTTCTCCCTCCAAATCTAGAAAGTAGCAGCTACTTTTTTTAAAAAAAATAATTTTTATTTTATGTACACTGGTGTTTTACCACGGATGTCAGGTCACCAGGAACTGATGTTACAGACAGTTGTGAGCACCGCTTTTACTGACTAGAACAAATGCTACAATGCCTCAGTGACGGACTCTTAGACCTTCTAAATCAAACTTCTTTACTTCCTAAAATAAAAGCCCTGGGAGGGAGGAGGGAGGGAGGGAGGGAGGGAGGGAGGGAGGGAGGGAGGGAAGATACTTTCCTAGCAAGTCAAAACAGGGCAAGGTGTGACTCCCAGGAACCCTAACAACTATCCTCTAGGCTTTCAGCTACCAGCAGCTCTTTAGATGCTCACCCACCAACTTGACAAACACCAGGTAAATGGTCACGGTGAAACATGAGGGTCCAACATCTCCCTTCCCTTACCAGCTTACTAGTAACCATTAAAACTAACTCTACGGAGAACATTGTTTTTCATCTTTCAGCTTACCGCTTATCTTTTTTAGCCAAGTGTCTGGGTTTAGAATCAGATTATTTAAATGTATGTCTAGATTTCAAGAGTTTTAGAAAAAAAAAACTGTCAGCAGTTTTTAATCACAAAACTTCTGTGATTCAGGGAGCAGCCTATTGTGATCTTCAGCTGCCCCAAGCAAATTATGTCCTGAATTTACAAAACATAAAATCTGGTAACTAGCTACAGCACTCTTGAGAACTCAAAGCTAATAAGAACAGATTATAATTCAAGAAACTAGCAGTTATTCTAGAATAACATTTTAATTGGTTGTTGATGACTACAAAAAATCATAGAAAAAGTCATAGAAAAAAATCATAGAAAAAATTCATAGTTAAAAATAGCATAGAAGAGAAAACAAAAATAATGGAGGTAAAAAAAAATCACACCCAGAAAAATCAAGGATGGCCAGGAGGAGGCATGGCAGCTAGTTAATGGAGGAAGAGATACATAGTGTCCTAACACTGTAGCAGAAAACTGGGAGGAACAACAGCCACTCAAACCTCACTTCCAGGGTCAGGCATGGTGGTGCACACTTTTAATCCCAGCACTCAGGAGACAGAGGCAGGTGGATCTCTGTAAGTTCGAGGCCAGCCTGATCTACAAAGCAAGTTTCAGGACAGTCAGGACTATATAGAGAAACCTGTCTCAAAAAATCAAACCAAACCTAAAACGAAAAACAAAACAACAAAAATCACTCCTCAAATCATATGCACAGGGGAGTCCTTTTAACTATAAAGAACAAATATGTCAGTAATAAAAAATGGATACAACTGGAAATAAACATACTAAACAAATTAAACCAGTCCCATAAAGAGAAACAATGTATGTTTTCTCTCATTTATGGTTCCTCGATCGTCTACAGAGAGACAAAAAGCATTAATTTGATATGACATGAAAGTAGACGTGATGCTGCCTAAGGAACAAAGGAACTATGAGGAGGAAGACATGGAAAGGGACAGAGGGATGGAGGTACAGGGGAAACATACTCAATATACAATATGGGGTTTATGAAAATTTTAGAAAATGATAAAAATAATTAAATAACCCCATGGCTAGTGTTTTAGAAGTTTGGAAACCTACAGAATCATAACCAAGTTGTGAAACTGCACCAAGCCATGCTAGTTGGGTTGTATTTTCCACCAGGGACAATCCAAGGGCACAAGAATACAAATTTGGTAAATTGTAAAAAGTGGATATTGACATTTTACAAACATGAATATAAAAACATTCATGGATTGGTATGGTTTGGACCATAATAGGTGAGTCCTGAGGTCCTATACTCATTCCAAAATCCTGCAGCTCCATGATGAGTGTGTGAAGCTTGTGACGTCACTGCCCAGCCACAAGGAGCCGGGGTCGCCCTGCCTTGATGCTCTGTGGCTCTTGCTTTGCTCTGGCCTTTCTTTGCTTGCTCTGCCCCCAACTCCTTCCTTTTGGGATGAGAACCAACCCTGTGCCACTGTAAGCTGGAAGTACAAAACTTGTTTATTGGTTTTTCAGGAACTCATGGTTAAAAAGACTATTTTTGAACAGTGTTGGAACATTAAAAATTATGGAAACTTCTGAAGTTAGAATGAATGTATTCTGCATTAAAGATGACCAAGAACCTATCGGGACAAAGAGTAGAAAGTAATAGCTTTAAAATCATATGTTTAAGTCGGGTGTGGTGAAGCATGCACTTAATTTGAGCACTCAGGAGACAGAGGCAAGCAGATCTCTGTGAGTTTGAAGTCAGTCTGGTCTACAAAGTGAATTCCAGGACAGCTAGTAGCCAAGACTGTTACACAAAGAAATCCTGTCTCAAAAAACTTGGGGCCTGAGAGAGAGAGAGAGAGAGAGAGAGAGAGAGAGAGAGAGAGAGAGTTCAGCCATTAAAAAAAAACAACTAAGGCTCATAACCAAAAGTGGTAGGAAATGTCTCAGCTATCAAGAGGTTAAGACAGCACACTGCCCTTACAGAGGACCAAAGCTCAGTCCCCAGAACCCACAACAGGTAGTTCACAACTGCCTGTAACTCCAGCTTAAGGAAATCTGACATCCTCTTCTGGCTTCTGTTGGCACTGAACTCATACACACAATTAAAAATAAAATTAAATGTATTTTTAAATGATATATTTGGGTATCAAGTTGACAATAAGTGGTCTTGTGATGTTAATATTGTTAACTTGACAGGATCTGGAATCATCTATGAGATAAACCTCTAAACATAACTGTAAAAAAGTTTTCTGATTGGGTTGAGGTGAGAAGATCCACCCTAAATGTGGGCAGCACAATTTCACAAGTTTGGGCCCCAGAATGAGAAGGAGAAAGTGAGCTGAGCACCTGCATTGATCTCCATCTGCTTCCCTTGCAGAAGCAGGGACACCGGCTGAGGTACAGTCCCACTACAACTGTACCAAGATGGACCGCACCTCACACTCTGAGCCTCATGTTTGCTTTATATCCATGTTTGCTTTATATCCATGGGAGGCCTGCCCTCTTCTGAATCGAAATGAAGGAGGAGAGGATGGGGGGAGAGGGAGAAGGTGGGAGGGAAGGACTAGGAAGAGAGGAAGGAGGGGAAACTGTAGTTGGAATGTAAAAATCATTAAAAGAATAAAACAAACCAAAAAATTCACATATTTAATTATTTACTCTTTCTCACTAATTAATCAAATCTGCCTTGTAGCTCAGTGTAAATCTTTTTTTAACACTATCTTTGAAAACAATGATTGCTTATTTTTCTTTCCTAAAACATAAAATATTCCTTTTTCTATATGCTTGAAGGAATAAAAAAATGTTGTTGATTTTCCATGATTAATTTTTACATGGCTAGACTATAATAAATTCTTTTCTTAAATCTTTGTAGATAATTCTCTGGATTTTCTAGGTACATAGAAAGCGATTACCAACTTGGACTTGCTAATAAGTATGTACACCCAGCTTATGCATCATGCCAGTTCACTAGTTAGAGATTTCTGAAGAGAACCAAATTTAACTGTGATACTTTCCTTGTTCCAAAATCAGTTTAACCCTGGTTCAAACTGCATTGCTTAGACACAAGAGGAAAGAGAACTCATCAGTGTGGGTTCTTAAGAAGGTAGGCAGCACACTCCTAAGATTTTCACCAGAGAAACCAAGACTGAAATCAAGAGGGGCCCACCATTCAAATGACCTGGGAAGAGCAGACATTTCAAACATCCCACTAAGAACTGTATCGCAGTAAACTCAGGTATTCTTTCAACATGGGGGGAAGGAAGATCTAAACTGAGAATGAAAGAGCTAACTTAAGGCTAACTGTAAGTTATGGGAAGCCAAAATCAATGCTCTCACTGTTTTTTTTTTCTTTTTTTAAATTCAATTAGAATAAGATTCCTTTTAAAAGTTCACTAACTGAACTTTCAAAAATATTAACATGCAATTTCATAAGTAATTGAATTGTGGGCACATCTGTCATTAGGGCAAAAGAACAGGTTCACTTGTGCCCTGGAAGTTAAGTGTAGCTCAGAGAGAGGACAGCAGCTAGTGAAACCCACATCTATGCTAGCAACATTTAGCTACTGGGCAATGGCAGTGTAAAAGAAGGTCTGCTTCTGAAATGCTTCTAGACAGCTTGAGACCTACCTTATTTTTAACAATGGCTCAACCCTTAAAATATCATGAAACAGGATATTTAGAAATTCTTCAGGATCTAGGAGAAAATAAAACAACAACAACAAAAAACCTAAGTGAATCACAGAGAAAATTTAAAAACCATTCTATTCTTTAAGAGAGACATATTAATTAAAAGTTTAGTTATTTCAGGTTCTCCTGACAAGGGAAAACTTATAATAAAACATTACTTTTCCATTTGTTGTCATGATGCCCTATTTAACAGAATATACTCATTCACACACAGTGAAATCATTTTTATGTCTTTTGGGAGGTTCAGTAGAATATACCTGGTATATGCCCTATTTTTTCTTCTATTTTAGTAATAGCCATGTGTATAAATGCCACAGCTGGTTATAGTATACTGTTAACAAACTAATTCAGGAGTTGAATCTGAGCAAATTCTTCAGTTGTGAGCAGACAGAAGTGCCGGCCAACTGCTCCACAGCCCCTTTCAACAGGGAGCACAGTGAGAAACTGAGTGCTGGGGACTCTCCCTATCACAGGAAGAGAAGCAGCTCCGAACAGCCCTGCTGGGGACAAGGACAGCTCTTTACTTGGTCATCTTCTGTAGAGCCAGCCGGCTGGCCTCTTAAAGACTTCTTCCACATCACATCACTTCAGAAGAATCACAAAATCAGGAGAAATATGCATGTCACATAGAAAAGAAACTTTTCATATTTTTGCAGTGCTGGGAATCAAACCCAAGGCCTCTTACATACTCCACCACTGAGTATACTCCTAGCCCTCTCAAATGAATCTAACTTAAATTTAATCCTCTAAACTAAATTGGTATATTTCAGGAAATAATTTAGCATATTACTAGATGATAAACTTTCAAGTTATTTTCAATGCATATATTATAAATTAAAAGGGTCACCTTTTTCTTCAGATGTAAATCCTGATGCAGCAGGAACTTTTTCAAGTATTTTCCTCAGTTTCATAGTTTTTGTGGCACACACATATCCATATCTGTTGATAAAAGTGAATTAACTGACACTGGCACAGTGAGTCATATGGCACATCTTAATAATCAAGTACTTTTCATACAATTGTAACATGTTAAAAAAAACAAGAGACAAGGCATTTATTTTTAAGAAACAACTGTAGGCTTCTTACAGAAGTTTGAAAAGTGAAAGTCTGAGAATCAGAATTGTTTCCAGATACTATTAAACACCTTAAAAATAACTACCATGTACTAATACAATTCTGAACTTTTTATGAAGCCTGGGTGAAGCAATTTTTAAATGGCATTTGCTTATTATATTAAAATATTTATTTTATAAAATAGGATATCCAAATTTGAGAGAGCCCTTCTATTACACAGGATAAGAGACATGGAAAAGGGAACTGATGAGATACTAAAAATCTAAAGTCTGAAATCAAACAGTCAACATAATTATGACATTCTCTTTGTTTGACTATAGGAGACCATGGGCTTACAAGAACAAGTCAGAGACAGCTAATCATACTGTGTACCCGCTTTTTAGAGCGACCATCCACCTACTTGGTAGCTCTTTGCAGTCAGCAAACACTAAACACCTACCACTTGTGTAATGCTATATGTAGGGCACCAAAAATACAAAAGGAGATTAAAGAAACCTAACAACAACAAAAAACCAAATAAACAAAACAGGATCTCTACCTGTGGGTGCTTCCATTACATAATGCGAAACCTCTGTCCAAACAACAGATATGACATTTGCAGACACAAGAAATATATCTCAAATTTCTGAACTACTGATCTTGCCTTAGCCTCTTGAGCTATCAAGTGCTGGGATTACAGGTATATCCCACCATGCCTGACAAGACGCACCTTGGTCTCATAGGCCATGCAACAAGTGTTTTCTATAGACTGGTGACAAAATTAGAATAACTATGATTCTGGACTAGTTGGGCAATCGTATGCAAAAAACGTTTACTGATGGATTGACAGTATTTTAAAAAGAAGGAAGGTTGTGATAATATGCCTTGTAGTTAAGATTTGACCTGTGCTGTTCTAGTGTCATTTACATAGGGAAAGAAAAATCTGAGAGTTTAAAATTTGTGTAAGACAAAATAATTAATATTAAAATCAAAGCACATAATTAAAGGATAAGATGATTAGAAAAGTAAGGCAAACAAGTATCTAGAGAAATTTGTTTCACTTTTAATTTACTTTCTTAGCTATGTGACACAGTACGTCGTTTGGAATACTCCTTATAGTTTCATATTTTGTTATTTTTAAATATATTACGTTAATTTTTATTTTCACTGTTAAGAAAAGTGTACCACAAAGTTTAAATTGATCACAGTTGGACTTTAAATTGCATAGTTTGTTCTCTATGTCCCTGAGCTATCTGTTTCCTGATCACTGGATAATCTAACTCTTCATCACATAAACGCCTTGTGAAGTCATCACACATCAGCATCATGTATCAAAGTCTTCTTACATGGTCTTCTGCACATTTACAACTACCTTAGTAAAGGAGTAAAAGAAGACCTAAAGAAATTCTTTTAAATAAACAAAACACCATGTCACTTTAATATACCTCACTTGTTTCTAGTGCAATGTCATGTACTAGACAAAGAGGCAAAGGGATAAATTTGTAGTGCATGACTCCAAATGAGTCCCATCATTTTACAGAATGCACTGCCCAGACTAAAACACACATAAACAGAGGACAAAAAACAAAGGTTTTAAAAAGTCAGTATTTCATGAGAACTAACTTCTTTTTTTTTTACTACATGAGTACAGAGCATAAATTAATTACTATACAAGAAAACAGTAAACAGAACACCAACTAAAGACAAAACACATGTCTTCTACTTACATTCTCAGAGGATTGACTATTGCTGTCCTCAGTAGCTCCTGGGTCTCACTATAATACTCCACATCATTCTTTTCCTTGGGTCTGAGCAACACAGTATCCAGGACAGAACTAAAAGCAAATAAGCTGCAAAATAAAAGAATATTTTCCTCATGTTATAAAAAGAATAAAATTTGAGAAAGATTCTTAAAGGAGTAGGAAGAGGCAAAGGGATAAAGTGTAGGGAACCACTGGCCTAAGAACTCATGGACAGACCACACAGGCCCTGTGCTCAGTACCCGGAGACCCTGCAGATCCGGACCAGAAACACCAAGACTGCACCATACACGTGAAGGTTGAAAACACGCCAGAGAACATTATGAAAGAAGCTTGTTTACATAAACCAAGAGAGGCCTAGAAATCGGTCACACACACACAGACAACATAGGGAGAAAGTCAGAGACTGGTCAAGACCAGATCAGACTAGTCAGGACAACTTCATTTCATTATCATCAGATAGGCATTTCCTTATAATAACTTGTGAGTGATTAGCAATAAAAATTTGCTGGTATCAAAGAAAATAAATTTAGTTAAAATAAATTTTTATCAGCAAATCTAAGGAATATTATAGTAATGCTTGCTTGTTTGTTTAATCAAAAGTATTCCAGCAACGACAAGACCCACCTTTATTGTGCTCTCTCCTTTAAAATTCTAACTTCCACACTAACTTCCTAACTCTTGTGGCACAGCCTACCGAGTGGCAGATCCACTTCACTGGCAGTGCACAACCCTTACGGCTATAGATGCAATCTTCATAGCCTAATGATCCTTGCTGTTCAACTTGATCCACTTTAGGGAAAACTACACAAAGGAGGGCAACAGTGATCCCATGGAAAGTAATTTTTAATATTAAGAATTTTTATGATCATCTCGAGATTCCAGAACCCACGCAGCACGCAATGCCAATAGCTTGCTGCAGGTTACTTGGCACACGTGCCATCATCTACACTGGAGGCAGATGTCCTCAGAGTATCTGTTCACTCATTATTCACTGCAGTATTTTTATATTAGTGCTTTGGATCTAGGAATAGGATATGAAATTCTTTAGTCACTAAGGACCAAATCTCATGATCTTTCCTAACTCTGTCAGTTTCTCTACTCAAAGGCAACTGGCACCTTCTTCCATATACACACACACACATACCTGTCTCCCCTCTCCCCCACACAGCACTATTTACACTTACTGCAGAAAATAGGAACTTACCTGAATAAAGTTGAGTCCAAGTAACAAGAATTGTAATAGCCCTGGATGCCTTTCTTCTTTCCAATCATTATCTCTAAACCTTCTTTTTCCGTCTTTGGTGGAGTATTTTCTTCTACTACTTCACTTAAGTAGCCTCCAAATACTGAAAAGATAAAAAATAAAAATAATCTTTTAAATCATGACAGTATATATTCATATGCATGTATATATATATATCATTTAAAGTATATTTTGGCATCTTCTGCATTTTTTTACTTTAGTTTACTGATATTTATCTGGACTTATAAAAATTCAATTATTCACTTTCAACATCATTCCTGTCATATAGAGTTTAGAAAATTAAGTCAATTAAGCATCTGTCAAAGAATATTTTGTTACTTGTCCAAAATGTTTCATTTTCAAGTATAAAAAGAAACAAGTTTCCAAAATACTCTTCAACATTAAGAAAAATGTTTTTCATAAAGATGTTTTCCCTATTTCCCCCTGCTTGACTCTCAGTATTGTTAAGGGAAAGGCCAGCATCAGCAAGCTAGTGACAATGAGAAGAATTGTCCTCCATCTGTCAAGCCAACTGCATCCCCAGACTGTATCAGATTTCTTCATAAGGACATCCGAAATGAGGTACTTAAAAAGATGCGGATGGGGAAGTTATTGCTAAAGGGACCACATTTTCATTTCTACCACCCACACTGCCAAAAATTTAATGTCTATAATCAATAAAAGAGAAGAAAAAACACCACCTTTCAGTCTTTAGACCCTAAACACTTTTCCTAACTCTTCTTTCAACATATCTCCTCTTAGGACAACTCTCTTATGCACCAAGTAAGAATCTTTACCAACTTCGAAACTTGATGAACACTGGCAAGTAAATAAAACATTTAAACACTGTCACCCTCAGATGCTAAAATGTAGCAAGAAACAGTCATTCCAGATGGGTAAATAAATTAAAAGTATCCAATTACCTAAAGAATTACACCTTTCAATCTGATTATAAACAGGCTCCAGAAACTCAAACCTAGAGTCCGGTCTGCAGCTCTTCAATTTCACAAACAGAGCCTTCTTCACGTCGCAGGTGAAATAGCGCGTGCCCCTGAACGTGCCATCTGTACAGCCCGCACATTCATCCTCCTGAAAAAGAAAGGTTTTGGTATGTGTTACACCGGGAAGAGCTATGGAGTTTTCACTTTTTCTGAATTTCTCTTTCAAATCTTTTCTGAACAGATCAGCAAGAAGGAAAAGGGACTGACTAACTGGTGCTTTGGCCCTCAGCTGGTGGTTTAAGAAAATAATTCTTTAGCCCTCCGGGAAGTATTTGATGCATTTCCTTTCAAAATACATGCTTAGAACTTCCTTGGTTTACTGAGTTTCCCTGAGCCATTTCAAAAGTATTAAAATCAAGGGGCAGGAGTAGATAAATTACCTAGTTCCTCAACAGCAAGAAGACAAGTGAAAAAAAGTTAAAAACTATATTTAGGCAATAGCTAAATTTATTCAAATTCTCCCTCCTGGTTATGAAATATCACACAATATACTTTTTTTAGAGCCAAAAATAAAACCTTCCCCTCTCCCAAAGACTCCAAACATGATTAATTTTAAAGTCAGTCACATCCCTGAACTGACTGCAATGGGAGGAGGCTAAAGAATAAGAAGGAGAACTGGTCACTGAACTGCTTTCTTTGCTGCATTCTGTTTGTATGTGGAGACTACATGTTCTAGCCTAAAAATCAATCTATTCCTTGATCACAAACAAACATGAGGAATAAGTGGGTGAGAAGCCTTAGCGATGGCAAAGGGTGAAGGTAAGCACTACTATATTTCCTCTACTACTGAATTTTTTTTTTGAGAAAAAAATAACTTCCCAAGAAATTATCTAATAGAGGAAAACCTAGTTTTAAAACCCATGAAGAAAAGTTGTAGATTTCAAGCCAAAATAAATTACCAGTTCCAGCCCAGCTAGCACGTGACGGAGCCCAGGCGGCTGGCCAATCCAACGGATAACCCCATAGAATGGGGGATTCTTTTTCACTTCAGCCAGTGAGCCCACCTCTAGGCCGTATGCATTACCAGAAGAGATGGGCAAAGGTGGACTCTCCTGGACAGGCGTGCTGTTCAGCTCGCCCGTCACAGACTGCACTGACAGTGACAGTGGGCTGTGAGCAATGCGGCCCTTAGTATTGGGCATCTTGGTCAGGCTGAACGGTAGAGAGTGCAATCTGTTCTCGCTGGATAAGGAGTTCATGGAAGGAGGTTGTGGTGGAGGTGATGAATGTCCAAAGTCTGGAGACAGCTCTGTTAGTGATTTTGCAGGGTCTTCTGCAACTATGAAAAATTGTCCTTAATTAGAAAAGGCTGTTCAAGAACATTAAATATGAATGCATCTTCTAAAAACAATACAAAGTTCTAGTCTAACTGATCACATGATCCCTTTGCAAGCCTGCTTGAAAGCACTGTAAACTCATTGGCTCTGAATAATGTTCTTGCTCCTCTTCTCGACCTCCACAGTTTCCTGTCTCAGTAATCTGGCATTGGTCATCTAAGTCTAGTCAGTATCACATGGATTATATTCTTTCCCATAATATGATTAAGTTAGAAATTAGTATGAAGAGATATAAAAATTAAATAATAATTCTAAATAACCTCTGGAAGAACAGTCAGTGCTCTTAATCTCTAGCCATCTCTCCGGCCCAGGATGAATTCTTGAGAGAGGCAGGTCATTTTGCCTATGCTCACAAAACCCCACTCAGTGCGAGAATCAGATGTGGCAAATACCCACTCAGGTCACTTTCTGTGTGAGTATATATGTAACCTATAGTATGCAACTGTAGATTGTACTGTGTGTTTTAGCTTATAACTGAATCCATGTCATAAGCAGTCATCCTAGAGACTTAGAACACTATATTTTCATTTAGTTTACTGAATCTACTGAATACAAAGCACTGTAGAAGCACTAGGAACTTATAGAAAATACAGGCAAAAAACCAAAACCACTTCAGGGACACTTAACCTAACCTAAGAGAGTGAGTGAGTACAGCGGGAGGAAAGGTTTCAGTTTAAGAGGTGAAGAGCAGTCAGCCAGACCATTGAACTGGAGGAACTAGAAGGATTTCCAGGTAATTAACCTACACAGATGAAGGAAATAAATCCATGAAAGGAGAATGATATCTAGGAAACAAGGAAGGTAGTGTGTTTTAAAGAAAATAAGATAGGCAAGTCTTTAAATGAGTCACTTCATTTCTAAAAACAGTTGATCCTAAGCAGATGTATTAAGAGATAAGAACAAACTGCTGGGCATAGTGGTGTACACTTTTAATCTCAACACTCAGGAACCAGAAGCAGGTGAGTCTCTGTGAGTTCGAGGCCGGTCTGGTCAACAGAGCAAGTTCTAGGACAGCAAGGACTTTTTATACAGAGAAACCCTGTCTCGGGTAAAAAAAAAACAAAGCAAAACAAAACCCAGACGACTAACATATTTCAAATGTATCCTCAACCCTAATAACAGTGTAGTTCAAACTATGTTTAATATTTTAGTTCAGCAATATTGTCATATTAGCTATGATCTATTCACTGTTTCCAAAATTAACAAATATTGATGAAAAAGTCATTTCCCCTTACATATTAAACAGAGGGTACCATTATAAAGAGGACTAAAATTATAGATTACCTTCATCAATATCGCATGAATTTTTGGATTTGGTTTGTGGTTGTGAGTCAACAGATGACCCATTTAAGGTATAAAATAATTCAGATCTGCTTTTACTTCCAGGGTCTGAGGTAGATCCTATGGAACAAGAAAAGTTCCTTTTTAAAAAAGCCAATATGTTACAAAAAGAAGTTTTATAATTAAATTAACATATGCATGGTATAACAACTGCTCACACAACTAATATACATATACATAGTATTGTATTGTCTTCGGCTTTAAAAGTTTGGTAATTAGTCAACACAGAAGAGAGTAGGAGTAATAAAATTAATATAAAAGTTAGTCATTTATATTAAAGCTCTAAGAAACCATTCTGGTGGTCAGTGGTGACACGAGCCTTTAATCCCAGCACTTAGTAGAGGCAGGCATATCTGAGTTTGAGGCCATCCTTTTCTATTGAGCAAGTTCCAGGACACTACAGACTATCTAAAGAAATCTGGACAAAAAAAAAATCATTCCATGTAGTCTATTTTTCAATGTCACCTCTACTTTGATGAAATTACTGGCTCACGAATTTCACCTCTATCATTCATACCATATAACAGTGGTTTTCCACCTTCCTAATTCTGCCACCCTTTAATACAATACCTCAAACTGTGGCAAACCCCAACCAGAAAATTGTTTTCGTTGTTACTTTATAACTGCAATTTTGCCACTGTTATGAATTGTAATATAAATATCTTTGTTTTCCAATGGTCTTAAACGACCCCAATAAAAGGGTCATTCAAACCCCGAAGGGGCCACAATCCACAGGATGAAACCCCATTGCAGTCAACAAAAGAACATCCAGCAGTGTTATAGAGCCTAGACATACACAAAGTTCTTTTACCAAGGTTTGTGAAGTGCATTCTATGATGGTCACATGATGTGGGATTCTCCTCCACATGCTGTGAATACCATTGATTAATAAAGAAATTGGCTTGGCCTGATAGAGTAGAACAGAGCTAGGTGGGAAAAACTGAATGCTGGGAGAAAGAAGGGCAGAGTCAGAGAGAATCCATACAGCCCCACAGGAGATGCCGGAACTTTACCTGGTAAGCCACAGCCTTGTGGCAATACACAGATTAATGGAGATGGGTTAATTTAAGATGAGTTAGCCAGAAATATGCTTAAGCTATTGGCCAAACAGTATTGCAAATAATATGGTTTCTGTGTGATTATTTTTTGGCTGAGCAGCTGGGAACAAACAAGATTTCTCATCAAAAAGTCACACAAAAAAACAAACTGCCAAATGATGCACTTCTCAGAACTTATCCCATTAATAAGTGGCTCATGATTATAATTTCCCTTCATAAACTTCAAATGTGATAATACAAGCTGATGAACAAATTAAGTTAAAAAACATTCAGGTTTTGGGTGGGTATATGGCTCAGGAGTAGAGTCCTATATTAGTTTGTGTAAGATGCCAGATTTGATGCAAGCACCAAAAAAATCAAAAAGTAATATCAGTGTCTGGAACAATACCTGAGTAAAAAAGTACTTACCTAGCTTATAAGGTTCTGCTGACTTTGATCCCCAACATTACAAAAGAAATAATTTATTTTTTTAGATTTACAATATAAACATCTTAGAATTTTATTAACACAATTTCTTGTTCTTTGTAGTTTAGGAGGATGGACCTCCGAGGCTCTGTGCCCTCGTTAGGGATGTGGTGGAATATTCGGTCTGTGCCTGTCAATGACCTGAAAATGCAGCCCACGACCCATATGACCAGTGGTACTTTCCTCCTTTCAGGAGAAGGCCATGATCAGCTCAAGCACCAAGACTAGGAAGCCTGATGACCACAAGAAGACAGATGACTTGGAGTCTAGCATCTCTCATGCACTGCTTGAGCTGGAGATGAACTCAGATCTCAAGGCACAGCTTGGAAACTCAGTATCACCCACCACAGCCATGGAAACTGAAGCTGGTGATGGTCAGAAAGCAATCCTTATTTTAGCACCAGTTTCTCAGCAGAAATCTTTCCAGAAAATCCAAGTCTGGCTGGTTCATGAATTAGAGAAAAAGTTTAGTGGCAAGCATGCAGTCTTTACTGCTCAAAGAAGATTCTGCCCAAGCCAACTCAGAAAAGCTGTACAAAAAAATAAGCAAAAGCACCAAAAGCTGCACCCTGGCAGCTGTACATGACACCATCCTTGGGGACTTTTCTTCCCAAGTGAAACTGTGGATACTCCATGTGAATGCATGGCAGTCAGCTCCTAAAGGTTCATTTAGACAAAGCTCAGCAGAACAAGCAGAGCACAGGTCGAAACTTTTTCTGGTGTGTATTAGAAGCTCCCTCCCTCTCTCCCTCCCTCTCTCTCTCTCCCTCTCTCTCTCTCTCTCTCCCCTCTAGGGTTTTTTGCTGGAACTTGCTCTGTCAACCAGGCTGGCCTCGAACACAGAGATCCACCTGCCTTTGCCTCCTGAGAGCTGGGATTGAAGGCGTGTAACACCTTTCCGGTGTCATGCTCTCTGA